ATACGCAACCAACTTTTTGTAAGGACAAGAAAAAATATACGCCTATTATTGAACAAGCCATACAAATTATTTAGGTATTACCACTGGTTTTTTTTTTTTTTTTTTAACTGGATAGCGTGCCTTGTTTTTTGTTGGCTGCACTAGTGTTGTGTATAGATCTATCTTTTTTCCCGCTCAGGTTGTAAATATGTGTACTGTCCAGTTTAATTTTTTCTTTAGCTAGAGTGCATGCTTATTATTATTATTCTTATTGGTTCTGTAAATGTATGTTCTATTATGGAGTTTATTCCTAGTTAAACGGGAGAATTTGTGTACCGAAGGGACGGCCGGAACACGCCGAAAAAAACGGGACTTCTTCTTCTTCGTGTTCACCAGCTGTAAACTCTGGCGGAAGGTTCTGGTTGCTCGTCCACTACTAAACTGCAGTCCTGCTCCAGAACCTGAGTGTTGCGTGTGCATCAGTTTTACAGATCTCATTCTCTTGAATACAGACTGTTGGTTCCTTGCCTCTCCGGCAGATGCACTCCGACTTCAAAGGAAGCTCCCCAATCAGTCCACTCTTACGACATGATTTTTGGGGAGTCAGTGGATCTATTCTTGTTTTCCCCACAATAGGACCCCGGGACCCACACGGGTGAAAAACGGGACTGTTCCGGTGAGAACGGGACATATCCGTCACCGCATATAGTGAAGCCAGGAACTCTTTCCTGCTCCCGTAGGCACATTTGATCATTCATTTCTTGACCCGGGGCTTTGTGCGCTTCTAACTAAACCAGTAACTGAAAAAGAAAAGAAAAGGCGATTACCCAAAACGTCTAGAAAGGGGCCGTTACTCCCACAAAGTTTTTATTGCCCTAGCACCGAAATAAAATGATGCTTTGAAATACTGGTTCTCATTCTTCCTAATGCAGCTACCATTAAATACTGTTCCTTATGTTGTGGGAACCCCCAAACATACTATTATTTCCTTTGCTACTTCATAAATACAGTGAATATGTTTTTGGATGTTCCTATGAAACGGCCCCCACCCACAAGTTGAGAACCGCTGATTTAAAACAAAGGTGCCCGTAAGGCGTACTGTCGCTTACTATCGGGGAAAAAAAGGTATCGGCTAGACTCCTGTTTAATAGACCACGGTGTGTGATATGGTCAGCTTTATTCCGGCCGCCTTTACTAACTCCACATTTCCCTTGTAACACTTTTAGGCTGGTCATTTAATGACCATAGAAGGGTCATTTATTGAGACAGATCTGATTCCCCGCGGATTAGAATCCACGACCTTTGGCCTGCCTGTTATGTCTAATCAACAGGCAACTAGAAAATCGAACTGAGTCTCAGGAAAGTGGGGATATGCAGAAGAATAGATTTTTTTTTTCATTGAAACAAAAACAATCGCTTTTGGGGAGGATGCGAAAAAAAAGACAGTTCATCATCATCATATAGAAGGTCCTTTGCAGAACGTCGCTCTCATCACGGTCTGCCTGAGAGAAACTCGGTCTCTCACCAGCTCTACCACCTCAGGCACTTTCAAACTCAAGGAGTCACTAATATCCGGTGCCCATCTTGGTGTCGGTCGGCCCCTGCCTCTCCTTTCTGGTACCATGCCCTCTGCTATTATTTGTTCCAATCCGTCGTGGCGCTTGATATGACCAATATATTTCAGTTTTCGAGACAGGATGCAGTTTATTAGCCAATCTTCATTGATGTTCAGAACTTTCAAGATGTCAATATTTCTCCTCTTTTTCGTCCAAGATTTTTTGAGAATCTGTTAATAGCATTTCAGCTCAAAATCCCCTATTCTCTTTCTTAAGGACTGAGAGATAGTCTACGACTCACATCCGCATGTAGCTACAGGAAAGATGCATGCTCTCAAAATTCTAATTTTGACCTCCTTGATGGTGCTTAACCATAGACTTTAGGGCTGTTTAATCTTTGCATTGTTATGGCCAACCTCCTTTTAATTTCTGTCAAACAGTCTCGATTGCTATATATTATAGAGCCTAGATATTGAAAGTTACTGAAATTCTTCTTCTTCTTCTTCTTGTTCACCGACTGTGAATTCCGGCGGTAAGTCGCGGTTGTTCGTCCAAATGGACTTTTGGCTTTTACCTTGACCTGAGTTTTGCGTGTACATCCGTTTTACTGGCTTATTTGTTTGCAGTTCTCGCTCCCCGCCTCTCCGGCAGATGTACTCCGACTTCGAGGGAGAAAGTTACTGAAATAAATAAGAAAGGGACAATTCAAATATAAGTTCACATTAACAGATATAACACTATTTTAAACACTATTATATTGGAACTAAATGTCGAGGCTAAGAGGTAGACAACGGTAAAGGCTGGATAACGAAAATCGAGAGATGGACGGACAGAAGTCTGAGAGTGTACAACCACGACAAGGGACAGGGAGTTTTGGAAATCCATTGCAGTCAAGCTTCACTCTAGAGACAGCACATGGTTGATTGACAGTGCTTATGTGCCTTGAGTTTTGTCACATCAATGTTAAATGCCGTTATGGCTAAGTGTTTTAGCAGTTGCTGTGTTGGAATCTGTTGTCTCAGTTAAATGTCTTCACAACGAGGACATTTTCCTACAGAATGTATCTTTTGAACATAGTCATATAGTGGTACCTCAGTGTACGTCCTTAAACCGTTCCAGATCGTTGGACTTTTATAAAACATGACGTATGCAAAACCGTAAATATACCAAATAGTACATATACCAAACAGTACATGTAACAAACAGTGCGTATATCAAACAGTACTATACTAAACAGAACGTATACCAAACGCAGTTTTCCATAAGTAAGGAAAAAAAAATCGATTAATCCGTTCCCCTGAAAAAATCTCGTTGTTATTGGCATCTTATACGTTAGCTTTGTATAACATAACTTCAACAGTGCCTAATAGTCAAATACTCTAAATTATGTAGTTTTAAAACCAAGTTACGTATTTTGGATTCTAAGTTTTATTCAAATACGTCACGGAATATTAAAGAACAACAACTTAAGATCCGGAAAGAAAGTTGAATACATTCGAAAACAAATGCCTGAGGAAAATGATGAATATAAAATCGAGTGAAGACATAAAAGAAATGTCTGGGCAACCACTACTAGCAACAGTTATTAGACAGAGAAGATGGCGCTACAGTGGACACATCATGGGGAGAGAGAGAGCAGAGAATCACCAGACAGACACTAAAACGGGAAATTAATGGATTAGGGAGGAGACGGCACTTAAAGAAAAATTAAAACGGACAAAGGTGCTGGACTGGAGCACGTCCATGATATCCAACTGAGTTCACTGGATAGTACAGTATGGAGGTTTAGACTATGAGCCCTATGTGACACATAATGACACAACGGGATAATGAATGAATGAATGTATGAATTCTAAAATACATAAGTATAAAACAATTAGATGAAATAAAGGAAAATTTAACCTCACTTGACCTTAGTGAGAATAGTCAAATGCTTACAAGAGTAACGCTGAGCAGCGACGGAGATGTTATTGTTAGGAAGGAGACTGAGTCCCTCTCAGTAAAGCTTGAGTGATCTGACATTTTAGTGTTTATTCTCTTCCATTTTTTTTCTACTATTTTGCACCTACTGGGACCTGGCTGATGCCATTCTCGTTTGGCTTTAACTAAAAATGTATTTAAAGAACTTTACTTCTGCCTTCAGCTCACTTCTTATCGCGACATATGCTAGGTTTGACGTATAAGAAGTTAGACGTATACCAAGTTGTACGTATACCATTTCCAACGTATACCAAGTTGGACGTATACTAAGTTGTACGTATACCTAGTTGCACGTAAACCAAGTTGGACTTATCCTCAGGTACCAGTGTACTTTGAAGACGCATACAATGATTCCAGCATTTCGTACTTCCATGCTTGAATATATAACTGCCTGAAGACAATTAATTTTACCCTGTAAATTGTATGTGTCTGTGTGTTTTCAACGACATTATTTTCATAAGGTTTATTCATGTCTGCACACAAAGTTTTTACCATTTTAATGATTATAAATTAAACTATCATTTATTTTCCCCCTTCGTCCTCTTCCCACGAGATTTTCTTCTAATTTAACACAGTAATTGTGTTTATCCATTTAGACATTATCTTTCTTGTGGAAAATTTTTAGCGTAAATGTTTTTATCCCTTTCTGTTTATATAATTATTACTAAATAATGTAAACTTTGATAACTTATTTCAATTAATTTAATCGGGTTTAACAAACATCATCGTGGTGTGTGTGGTTGCACAGTTTCATAATTTTGACATAAAGGATTTCCATTTGAGCTGCAGGAGATTTTATTGTAGACCTGCTTACTTTGGTTTAATCAATGGTGGAAGCACCAGGACGTTCGGCAGGCAATAACGAGCGATTGGGCGTAAAGTTCGATCTATTCAGCAAGTAGACATTCACGGTAGACATCTATTGAACGGCAAAGCTGGTTTACAAATCGGACGTGACGAACTGAACTAAAAATGGCGAGCGGCTGATTATGTTCGGAATAGCTTATACATGTAAGCATTGCATGTGCGCATGACTGCTTTAGTGTTTGACTGCTTCTATCACCACTGAACAACAGCTCTGGTGGAGGGCTTAGTGTTTGCACATCTGACAGATGCTTTATGCATTTACATTGTGTGTGCGAACTTCGTGAATTTTTTGTGTATCATGTTTTTCACTAGTTTTACAAATGATACAAAGAAGGAAATTTTGTGGAGATTACCACACCAGAGCGGAGCAGTTACGGTATGTCCCGTCTGTATAGTAGAGTTGAAACCTGAACTAATGGCTTTAAAAAAATCATAGGCTATATTTTCAAAAGGATTAACACGCAGTATATTGGGACTTACAGTATTCACCCTCAGTATCATTATCTGTGTTATTTGACTAAGTTATATTTATGTATACTTGTAAATGCAACACAAACTCGTTAATATTCTTTCTGGTTGCTAAATTAACTTGTCGATGCCTCACTTTCCTACCTACAGCTCAGAGACGGTCGAGCTTCTCCTCGCCGACTTCCAGGGACACAGCCTTGACCTCAGTGACGTCTCCATCGCGACGACCTGAGGCGTTGGCCTCCGTCAGCATTGATGACATCCCTGGTCGCGACAGCGAGGTTGGGCTGCCAATCAACAGTCCTGGCATGCGAAGTTCTGCCTCCATGTGGAGCACCAGCGACCTACAGCGGAGTACCTGCGCAGCTTCCAAGACCGAACCTGACAGCATGTCCCGGTAAGTTAGTTTGACAGTTATGTCACATATCACTCCTGTCGCATGCCTAATGTAAGGATTTCTCCTTCAGAACCAACAGCACTCAGAGATAATTATGTTAAGTCGTTTGGCTCGTATTGGTCTAAGGGATTCCCCGTGGCCAATATACGCTCAACTTATCTGTGGAGTAGGGCAACTCAAGTATTGGCACTACAAAATATGTCAGTATATGAATACAATATTTCTAGGCACACTTGGCTGGACACCCCCACTACTTACTGAAGAAAGCCCCCAGGTTATGATAGTTCATTATCATAACCATGTTAACACATATAATGAAGATACATACACACACAACTGCTAAACACTTAAAAAGGTGAAATAGAGACACCTAAGTCAGCCATGAAAATGAATGCATGTAATCAGTGTAATATACATATAATAATGAAGTGAATTCCAGCTATCAGTGGAAGAATCTCAGAATATAATGTCTAGATACCAAAGATACTACACAGACAGCAGGTCTTGGAGATGACTCTATGTCATCATTGGGAAACATAGGAGCTGTGAGGCACAAAGCAAATCAGGCATCAAACTTAGCTTCTCTTCTTTCTGTCTATGATGCCTCCCTCAGCTCCGGATGATTCGACAGTCTTTGACTCTGGGAATTCTGCTCCACTGGATCAAGTAGTAAGAGAGTACCTCACCATAGAGGACACAGCACTGTACTGGTACTTAGCAAGTCTCTATCACCAGTTAGGACACACAATGTCTTTGAGCCACACTAAGCTCTAGCACTGGTAGGCTGTTTGAGTTATAAGCTCCCACATATTGATGATGTCAGGAACCTTCACAGGTGTCAGCTGGTGGGTGGTTGGTTTGTGGTTAGTTTATGGTTTATTTATGGTTGGTGGGTGTTGGTTGGACTGTTAAACTTGTGCCAGCTCCTCACAAAGGATTTATCCTGTCAAGAAAATAACTCAGGATTAGTCATCACCAAGAGGGTAACATCTTGACAGGAAAGACAGAACAAGCATCAGTCATCAACCCCCATCTGCTTATTCCACCCTGCTCTCCTGTTTCATTCCTCAGAATGCCTCTCCAGACCAGGATACCCAAGTCTCCTATATTCATCTGTCTGTTTAGTGCAAGAGAAGGCAAGTCAGATATACAGTGGAGATAGATAGAGTGTTCTAACACATATATCACTCTCTCTCTCTCCCCTCCCCTCTGCACACAGACACCAATATTTACTGTCAGTACATTTATTCCTCAGCCTCCCAAAGCCCGTCTTATCATTCATTGATCTGGGTCAAACACACTCCACACACTGGCCGACAAAGTCCTGACCTAATTCTGTCCCCATTTTGTATGCACAAACTTCTATAGTTAGTTTAAATAGTACACACTTGTAAGATTATTTAGGTTTACCAGTATGGGTGGGTTATTGAGGGCATAGGCTATTTAGTCTGTACAGGGGAAGGTCTACGTTCGAATCCGCTTCTCTAGCGATGAAGAACGGTCGAACTATGTGTGATCCCACAGCCGATACTGATCTCTCTACAGCAGTGACTACTTTACAGACATCATTTTAGGTACTCGTAAACTATAATTAACTTACCCAAGCATATGCAAAAACTGAGACATTCCAGATCGCCTTGTGAAATTGAAATTATACAGGCATAGATTACACGTCTGGACGCTTGGAACCGGCAAGAAAGAATGGCGTCACTTACGCACTTCAGGCGTTGGTAAAAAAAGAAGTCCCTAGTATACATGGGCAAGGAGTGCATCGGTTTCTAAGAAACCTCAAATAACTCCTCTAATATATATATCGAAGATATATACATTTAAAAGTGGAGTTTAGTTAAAGCAACCAGAAAATGTAGACATAATAATGTTGTCCAATAAAGGCCTATATATATATATAGATATAAGGGACTATATCTTTCCAGGCGTCCAAGTTTGAATTTTTGCCGATTACAGGTAAGTCAGGTTACCAGTCTTACGGACCGATGCGTAATGGCTTATCATTTCACGACAAGTTATGATCATTATTCTTTTCTGCTATCGGTTCTAGTAACGTTTTTGTTCACCAACAAAAACTTTACGTAGTCTCGCGAGATGTGTTGACTTCTCATTCACATTTCTTGAACTGCCCACGCGCTGCACTAAATTCTAGGGGTGCTAGCATTTGCGTTCTTTCCCTCGTGTCGCCGTCTCTACACACCAGGACTCTAGTAGATGTCTATGCGTCCCATTGGCCTCTTTTTCCCCCTCTCCTTTGCCACTGTCCGCATACGTCGGGCATACATTCTTTTCAACTAGGTGGGACCCAGGCTGCATATACAAGTGATGTCTAGGTGACATACACTCGTTGGGCTAGGCTCAAAGGCTGCACTCTTTCGTGGGACGTAGGCAGAGGCTGAGGGGTAAACGATTTGGGTTTAGGGCCAGTTATAGATGTTTTAGAGTCACAACTTGGAATGCAGAACGCTTAGATCGTTGACAATAACAAAATGTGGCACCCCTAGCAGATAATGTAACTCGTGGGAAAGGTCACGGTGGCTGATGAAGGGAAGGTCAAGAATTTTGCTGCAACGACGTGGAGTGGTTGTTTGCGGACGAAAACGTTACTTGTACACTACTGTCTAAACATTACACAAGACTGACAGTTCATGCTTCCCTTCTGTTTGATCCTTTGTTATCTGTTTGGTATCATGAATGAATTCCGACCCATTCCTTTTTTACCGCTCTCTTCGACTTTTATGTGAATATCTGTACCGAGAGGCAGACGGAGTGCCTGGAGGTTCATAGCAAAAGTGAATGGATGTCTTTTAGTGCAACAGGACCCGGCATATGATAACAAAAAATCCAGTTTTATAATGGCTTGAGAATCAGCTGTACTTACATGCTATGATTGTATTTGACTTACAGAACATATTGACAATAGTAAAGACAGATATGAAAAGTGGTATGTATCGCTTCAGAGGTCCCGGTTGATTCGTGTTCTGTGGATGTTTTCTGCAGATAGTGCAAGTGTGTTAGGGAACCAATAGACAGACAGAATGGATGGTTCTGAACCACTTGGTGGTGAATTGATGCATGGCAGGCTAGATGTTGTTGGGTTCCTTTAGTAGCAAGTGAACAGTGCTGAGGCACAAGTAGACGATCACCATTTGAGGAGAATGATGCTGTGGCGAGTTACTATAGGATCTGTCCGACGATCACATTTAGGGGAAAGGAGACAGATGTAAACTCACAGACTGTTACTTGTATCACCGCAACTGAAACTCTCTTGCTGCTGAAGTCATGGACGGATAGCTTATGGGAATGTCCTGAATGCTATGATATCGACATATAATTCAACAGTCATCGTTCATCGTAGCATTAATGTTGACCGTCATCGTTTCCATTGTCCATTTGTTTCCCATTTCAGTTCGTGTTGGTTATTATCTATCCCATTCTGCCCAGGGTGTGTCCAGTATATCACAAGTTTCTGTGTTTTAAAACCGTTTGCTATCAGCTGTTGCCGAAAAATTTCTCTGATGTATTCCAAATTGACAATGAACTGCAGAATTTGAAGTTTGTATATCTGTATGTGTGTGTGCATGCGCGCGTGTGTGTGGGTGCGTGTGCGTGCGTGCGTGCATTGGCCGGCTGTACAGATCTGGCTTATTTGTGTCCATGTCTGTGATACAGATCTGGCTTATTTGTGTACACGTCTATGAAACGAACCCAGAGCAAGAGGTACACAGCCTAACCTCTTTTTTGACAGAGACCCGTTGATATTTCTCTTTAACCGAGGCAAAGTCAATGAAGTGCTAAAATCTTGCTCCAAATAAATCAGTTTCCCTCCCCCATGTGATCAACCTGCAGATCTGCATTCTGTAGGATGAACGAGGAAGAGAATCACACAGCTTCAAATTACGGTAACACCCTTCAACGGGATTTCAAAGGCGGCAGCTGATGGACAAGATCTCAGGATAATTAAACAATATTTACTGGAAGCAAGAAGCAGCAATTAAACTGCGAAATAAAGCAAGCAGTTATGAACAGATAAAGCAAGGAGTGAGACAAGGATGTGTTTTGTCACTGGATCTTCTTTCTCTCTATAGTCAAATAATAATGAGGAAGGTCAAAGATAGACGAGGAATTATAGTTGGAGGTTATAATATAAACAATCTTCGTTAGGCATATAATACAGAATTATTATAATTCTTATTATCACCATAATATATATTGGCTTTTAATTACCAGTGGAAAGGAGCAACCAACAGTGAACATGACAGTAAACAGAGAGATGTTAGAATAGGATGGGGGAAAAAAACATTCTACTATTTTGATTGCATTACTGAAATAGAATTCAAAAATAGAACCTTAATGGCTAAATCTGTTCTCCGTAAGATGTGCAAAATATTGACAGCTAGACAGAAAAACAAAGTATTCACAATGAGAGTTGATGAGTCGCATGTATACTCGAGCTTGCTGCATGGCGCAGAAACTTGAACAACAAACAGGTAACCAGAAAATCGAATTGAGTCTCCGGGCAAGTGATCACACAGAAGAACTGGTCGCATTATGTGGAAACAAAAACAAGCAAATACAGAAGATCTGAATAGACTGAAAATGAAAAATTATTGAAAGAAATACACAGGAGACAATTGAAACAGTATGACACAATTACAAGAAACCACACTTGAGAGAAAGGGGGGTGGGGATCAATATTTATAAGCCAGATATGAAAGTAGGTGCACGCAAACCTCAAATTCTGGAACAATTAAACTGCAGAAGTAGATGAATAACTGGATCTTTCTATTTGCAGCCGGTGAATGCGAAGTACTAGTAGAAGAACATATTAGGTAAAACAAACAAACGAATAAATAAACAAAACAAACAAAAACATAACTTCTTCATTTTTATATAATCTTGTGTAAATTAAAACCCAAAAATATATTTTAAATACTAACAGCCTAAATTGGTAGCGCTTAAGTTTGATCCGTTCATTTATAAATGAAAGCACTACTTCTTGTTTTGCTTTGCCCAAAAAGATGAGTGACTTAGGGAACACCGGCCTTTCCTTTGTGCCACCTATATTTTATGTGCAGCTTCTTAACTCCGACATGTGCGCATGCGCCCAGCACCTCAACACCGTATCGCTAGAACTGTGTCAAACGTCAGTTGCATACACGGATTGTGTCCCGTTTGTCATAAACTAGTTAATGGTTACTGACCCTAAACTTAAGGATTATAAAGTGTTCACAGATAAAGAATATGTTTCTTAAAAAAAGACTTAACTGTATTGAATATTGTGGATTTTATACGAACGAACGAACGAACGAACAAACTTTATTTTCAAAGGGTTAAGAATTGGGCACGCAGGCCCGTCTAACATTCTGCCCTTCCACTCTGCTCCTTTCATACAATGTTTCATTTTTACCTCATTTCATAGTTAATAGTGGTGTTATACGGTGTAGATAGGGGGTCTGCGGTTTCATAGCTCTTAAAGAACCGAAGAAGAGGAAACTAAAAGGACCAGAACTTTGCTCAGTGTTGCTGCATCAGATAAAGGCGTGCCCCAACTGATTCTTGCAGAATTAGTGTCCGTTGCCATGGCAGTATCCGGCCACTTGGGTTCTACGTAATACACCGACCTGCCTGTTTCCATTGATGCCATTCACAAAGACAAGGAATGAAATGTTCGTATATTGATTGGGAGGAGGGAAAAGACGTGAGCGATAGAAGACGCAGTGCGCAATACAGCTGATGAAAACTAGAAGAAAAATGGCAGTTTTGGTAGCGCAGTGGTTGCAGAGCTCACTTAGCAGCTATGAGTTACCGTCACTTTCAATGCGAGCATTACTTGTCCGTTGAATTGGGCTCCAAAATCGACCCACCTACACACTGATATAAAACTGTAGGCAGTAAAATATGACTGTCGAGATAATGCTTGTTACTTTTTACATGTTGTTCGTATCGACGTCCTAGGACATCGGTCCGACCCATACGTGCTCCGTCCTCCGACGCAGCAGCTACCTGTGTTTCCATGCTCAACGTACCCACTAGGAGTTAAGTGGTATATCTTCTTGCGTTAGCTATGCATAACAACCTTATTTTCTCAACTGGTTCATCTGATTGGTTTATTTAATCAATCAATCAACTAATCAGACAATCAATGATTGATTGATTTAATGAATGATTATCACAAACGTTACAACACTATCTACATACCTAAAGATGCTCCTTTTTCAGCAGCAAAGATCAATAGATATAAATACAAACAGTCAACCGGTTGTAAACAGCATGTTCTATCTCTTATAAAGGAGTCTCATACAAGAGATGCTTTCTATGTAACGGGTAGGGTCCTCAATGGGCAGGAGTGCTTCATAATAATTATAATACAAATATGATGATGATGAAGGGCAAATAAATGTTATATTGTTAGATCAATATTGCATGTATACACAGAAACTAGAAGATATATCTACCTGGTTAAAAAAACAGGGGGGGATGGGTTCAACTTACAGATGTGTAGGGAAACTCTCCCCCTCACCCCCTCCCCCTCTCTCCACCCCTCCCCCAGTTGGAAGGGGTATGCTCAACGTGATCCTGTTATTAAACTTTCCACAACTGGCGTTTTTAACAGCCAATAAACACCCTCATCCATTGCCCCACACCGACAAAATATTCGGGACATTCTCACAACGAACCCAGTCACCATCTTCAGCAGCCAACAGAGTCCCAGTACTGATGGTACCAGACGCAGCCTAATTGTATGTCTGTCTCGCCTTTCCCTTGAGTTATGTTACATGGAGCCAGTTGAAAGATGATGACCGATGGATTGCCATGGTGGCAGGGGAGGGATAGCATCGGTGGAACTGATCCAGAGGACAAGAACCGAGAGCTGTGGAGATGCTTGAACGCCTATTACCACTCGGCAGAGCACTTGATGATGGTGATGTATTTGTTACTATAGTAGGCGCTTGAGGAGTTACAGTGAAATATGCCCGGCGATAAATTTTGCAATCTATTGTTTGAATCTTCTTTGTTCAAATTTCTTATGCCCGTCTTTACCCATCTGTCTGGAATTTGATTTATTGATATTCTGTTGACGTCTTCACTAATTTGTTTGGAGTTTGATTTATTGAAGTTTTTCTGCACGTCTCCAACCATCTGTTATATGTCTTCCCACATGGCAGGGTGGGCGCCAGTAGCTGGTCAAACGTCTTTAACCATCCGTTAAATGTCTTCCCAGACTGCAATGGCAAACTACTGGACGTAAATGTGCCTAGAAAACCCACACAACAGCCAGGGGCTGTTGGGGTTGGTTCTGCAACGTCCTGTAAGGGATACGCAACTAACCTATATGTCTTCCCACATGGCAGGGTGGGCGCCAGCAGGCTTTCAAACGTCTCTAACCATCCGTTATATGTCTTCCCACATGGCAGGGTGGGCGCCAGCAGCCTATCAAACGTCTTTAACCACCCGTTTTATGCCTTCCCACATGGCAGTATGGGCGCCAGCAGCCTATCAAACGTCTTTAACCACCCGTTATATGTCTTCCCACATGGCAAGGTGGGCACTAGCAGCCTGTTAAACGTCTTTAACCACCCGTTATATGTCATCCCACATAGCATGGTGGGCGCCAGTAGCCTGTCAAACGTCTTTAACCATCCGATATATGTCTTCCTACATGGCAGGGTGGGCGCCAGTAGCCTGTCAAACGTCTTTAACCATCCGATATATGTCTTCCTACATGGCAGGGTGGGCACTAGCAGCCTGTTAAACGTCTTTAACCATCCGATATATGTCTTCCAACATGGCAGGGTGGGCGCCAGTAGCCTGTCAAACGTCAGCGAAACGTTCAGTGAACGAATGCACGAGCTGGTCCGGGCCTTCTCCAACAGGACCCAGAAAACCAAAGAGAAGATCTCCCAGCCGCCCACACCGTCATCAGAATCTGACAACGACGCCAAATCCGGTAAGTTCTGTCTTCGTCGTTCTAATTTGTGTCTTCATTCTTAAATGTGAGCCTTCCCCCCCCCCCCCCCCCACGCCCCTTTTTCCACATGTGGAAGTTTTAGGGCCGGTCCGGGGGTGGGGGTGCAAAGAGTAAACCCACTTCTTCCCTAAAGAGGATGTCGTAAAAGTCGACTTATTACATTTGTTTCCTTCGAAGTCAAAGTGTATCTGCCTGAGAGGCGAGAAACCAACAGTACGTATACAAATAAGCCACATCTAATAAATGAATGTACACACAAAACTCTAGTTCTGAAGCAAGAACGAAGTCCTGAAGTGGACGAACCACCAGAACTTTCTTCCGGAATTGGCAGCCGGTGACTGTCAAGAAGAAGAAGATGTGAGCCGAAGTGTAACCATCTGAGTTTGGATGATACACCCACAAGACAGGTTCTAGATTCTCCGTTCAACAAGTAAAGAAGTTATAATGTGGACACTAGTGTCTGCAACACCAGCCGAGTGTCACCTGCCGGTAAGGATGAACTCGTGTGAGCAGATCTTTAAACTGCCACTTGTGCTTTACGTTCGCCCCTTAACAAAAGGACAACTTTGTGTTGTAGTTCACAGCTCGGCTGCAGTATCTGTACCTGTCGGTCTAATACATTTGATTTTTACCAAACCCCTAACTGGTCGCACTTTATGACATGCTTGATCGGTCTTTAAAATATCGGTCTATCATATCCGCCCAATCCGCTCCAAGGCGTAGGAAGAGGTCCCTATTTTGGTGTGAGGCCCTGATATCTTTCACGCTGCGATTCGCGCCACACCGACTGCTTATTATGTTCTGTTGTTGGTGTTCTAAACTGGGATATTAGGACCCTGCCAAACGCCCAGGATTACATTGTGAAAGCCTTTCACTAACCTAAAAGCCACAGAGCCCCATGACATACATTTAACAATGCACGAAAACGCCAGAACTAAATGGTTCAAACTGACACGGTCGAGAGACTTGTCTTGTTGCCCGCGGTGTACCTGTCAAGTTGTGATCCCTCTGTTGTGTGGGTGTTTTAGAGCTTGATTGTCTTGGCTTTGTCGGTGAATGAACATGGCACAGTTTGACAGTGTCATTACATGGCATGTTCATTGTGAGTGCCTGGTTTTGTTTCTTGACGACAGTCTTGTAATTAATCTCATTTGTTGTGTGGTCTGCAGTTGGTTGAAAATAAGTTACAATAGCTTCATTGTCACTTGAGTTATCATCATCATCGTTGTTTTAATTTTTAGTCTCAACATGAGAACACGATAATATTAAATCTTTTTTCCACTTATTGTTCGACTTCTTTTTTTTTTTCCCTTCTTTTTTCCTTATTTTCCTCTTCCTTCTTCTTCTTCGCCTCTTCCTCCTCATTCAGCATCATCTTTCTTCTTCTCTTTCTCCTCCTCCCCTCCTCCTCCTTCTTCAAAAAAGTGTAGTAAAACACACGACCAACTAGGCATCCCTAAAAAGGTATCTTCACTGGTCATGAACAGCTTGGAAACCCACAACTACGGAATACGGACAAAGTTCGTCAAAAACCATTGCAATGGTCTAATGCAGACACCGTCCATTCTGATGAGAAGGCCTCAAGACTATAAAGTTTCTTGTGCGACTCATGTCCTTCCACTGTTCAGTACAGTTTGTTGTGCGACTCATGTCCTTCCACTGTTCAGTACAGTTTGGTTTGCACTGGAATGCCAACCTGTCAACCCTGGGATCTACCGCATGCAGAGGGCATGTCTGTAGCACAGGTTCGGTATTCTGGTGTGCCTCTTCCCGTGGGCAAAGTTCTGGGTCCCCAGTCTTCAATTTCTTGTACATATGTCTACAGTTTTGTGTGTGTGTCCGAAAAGCAGTCTAGATATAATTGTTTCTTTTATATGAAGATTCTGATTGGGTCAGAATGAATAGTGTTCCAGTGGGTCATAATGGCTGCCTTGATCTTAGTTTTATTTTGTCATAAGTGCAACCTATAAATACTTAAGTGCACAAAAAGGAAAGTCATTTTGAGGGTGCTGGTGGTGTTGATGGTAGTGGTGGTAGAAGTAATAGTAGTGGATCAGCAGTAGTAGTCTTTTTAGTAGTAGTAGTGGAAGTGGTAGTAACAGAAGAGGTAAAAGTACTAATAGTAGCAGCAGTAGTGTTAGAAGTAACATCAGCAGCAGCAGTAGTAGTGGCAGAATAACAGAAGCAGCAACAGCAGCAGCATTAGTACATGCAGGACAAGTCGCAGCAGTAGTAGCAAAAGTATTCTCAACATTATAGTTGTATAAGAAAGAAAGAAATACATCAAGAAAGAACTGTAGAAAAAAAGAATCCTAACAAATAAAGGAAGTAAAGTAAAGGACAGAAAAAAGTGGGGAAATGGATGAACAAGCGTAAACCAATGCGTTAGGAGAAAATAAAATTAAAATAATAATTGAAAATTCAATATTTGCAAATTTAAAAAAAAAATTTTTAATAGCAGGAAATCACCAAACAAGACGCTATGAAACGCAGACGACAACACAAAAATACTAGCTGTCTGTAATAATTTCACACAGATCTCTGTAATATTTATAATTTAAGAACCTTGTCAGGCCGTTTGAGCCCTTTTCTGTAGCACCCTATCCAGGTGCTTCATTTTCTTTCTGTCAAGGAACCATCACTATTGTATCCCTGTAATAGATTTCTCTCTCTCTCTCTCTCTCTCTCTCTCTCTCTCTCTCTCTCTCTCTCTCTCTCTCTCTCTCTCTCTCTCTGTCGCTCTCTATCTATCTATCTATCTATCTATCTATCTATCTATCTATCTATCTATCTATCTATCTATCTATCTATCTATCTATCTATCTATCTATCTATCTATCTATCTATCTATCTATCTATCTATCTATCTATCTATCTATCTATCTATCTATCTATCTATCTATCTATCTATCTATCTATCTATCTATCTATCTATCTATCTATCTATCTATCTATCTATCTATCTATCTATCTATCTATCTATCTGTCTATCTATCTATCTATCTATCTATCTATCTATCTATCTATCTATCTATCTATCTGTCTGTCTGTCTGTCTGTCTGTCTGTCTGTCTGTCTGTCTGTCTGTCTGTCTGTCTGTCTGTCTGTCTGTCTGTCTGTCTGTCTGTCTGTCTGTCTGTCTGTCTGTCTGTCTGTCTGTCTGTCTGTCTGTCTGTCTGTCTGTCTGTCTGTCTGTCTGTCTGTCTGTCTGTCTGTCTGTCTGTCTGTCTGTCTGTCTGTCTGTCTGTCTGTCTGTCTGTCTGTCTGTCTGTCTGTCTGTCTGTCTGTCTGTCTGTCTGTCTGTCTGTCTGTCTGTCTGTCTGTCTGTCTGTCTGTCTGTCTGTCTGTCTGTCTGTCTGTCTGTCTGTCTGTCTGTCTGTCTGTCTGTCTGTCTGTCTGTCTGTCTGTCTGTCTGTCTGTCTGTCTGTCTGTCTGTCTGTCTGTCTGTCTGTCTGTCTGTCTGTCTCTCTCTCTCTCTCTCTCTCTCTCTCTCTCTCTCTCTCTATTTTGTGCAACCGCTTACGTCTGCTGTCGGAAACTTAACATTTTGGATAATTATTTTATCACATTCTGATATTCAGACGTGGTCAATTATATTCACAGTCTGTTAATAAGGCGCTTCTCAATACTCTCTTGATTTACGGCTCACATTTGCTTCACTGATTCTCTGACTGGAGTACTTATTTGATTATCGCAGCTGCGAAGTGAGATCTAGTCCGCTAACTATATTGCTCAATGACGTATGCTATACCTATCTGATTAACAATCAAATCTGCGAAAGGAGATATAGTCTGCTAAATATATTGTCCAATGACGTATGCTATACCTATTTAATTATCAGACCTGCAAAGTCTTCTTCTTTTTCTTTGCGTTGGGTTTCGTATGCTCACATCAGACCATCAGGTGGGTTGCCTTTATGAACTTGCATGTCAGTAGCAGGTCCTTCATGGTTTCCCATAGCTTGCTCTGCACACTTTGCTCTTGCGGCCAGGTGTCTTTCCAAAGTTGTAGGTAGAGTTGGTAGGTATGCAAAATGTGTTCATCGGCAAAGTGAGATCTAGTCCGACAATAACATTATCCAATGTTGTATTATGCTAAACCTATTTGATTATCAAATCTGCAAAGTGAGATCTGGTCTGCCAATAACATTGTCAAATGATGTATTATGCTAAACCTATTTGATTATTAAATCTGCAAAGTGAGATCTAGTTCGCTAATTACATTGTCCAATGACGTATGCTAATCTAATATTTGAAGGAAATAAAGAATCTGCAGTAAGTTTAACTCTTAGTACCACGCGATTTTAGTGAGATAACCAAACGGAGAGTAAAAAACCCGGTTGAAAAATCGTGAATGCATTACTTTTAAAGTGGCCATATAAGCACAAGTAGCGTGACCAATGGGAAAGTCGGATTCTTTTAGCATGTTAGACGCTCATCTGCGGATCGGAAGTCGTGGGTTCGGGTCTTGACGAAACAATCAGGGGACAATTCTAAAAACGGGACTCGTCCAGATTATAAGATACATAGAGGGTCATACAAATTTTAGAAACGCTTAGGTGGGCCATGGCATAAAATAGTTTGAGAAACACTGGTTTAGATGTTCCCTGATTTATTCTATCTATGGCTCTACAATCCCTGTATAAACTTGTGCACACTTCGAGAAGGTGTTTACTTGCTCCATACTGAGCCATTCATTTCTATATTACGTTTCTGTCGCGTGCTTTCTCCTGATGTGTTCGTATTGAACACAGACAAGTTAGATCCGTTTAGATAATACAAATACAACAAAAACCTTTCGAGTAGAGTAGAACCTCGGATATCAAACGCCTGACAAGGCAGATATGACTTCTGTCGTCTGGTTATCGTTGCAGCTTCCCCCCCCCCCCCCTAAACCCCCCCCCCCCCTCTTCCTCCTTTCCCACCCCCTGCCCAGGATGAGAAGAGGCGATAATACCCATCAAAAACGGTTGTCCATATT